GTAAAGTCCAGTGCACTTAGTAGGTTTCCTGACTAGGATCCTTCTGATGTGGCCTATATAGTATGCTGGACACTGAAAGAGGACAAAATCTAATGTACAGTTAGCCTACAGTATGGGACCTGGATCACCAAAGGCTAAAAAGAGACTTGGTTAAAAAAATCATGATTAGCCATATAATAAAGGTGAATTCTACCCTCGGGGGTCCGTATAAGCCAGTGGTTCTCAAACTGTGGGTCGCGACCCCTTTGGGAGTTAAATGACTCTTTCACAAAGGTCACCTGATTAATAACAGTAGCAAAATTACAGTTATGAAGTAGCAACGCAAATAATTTCATGGTTGGGGGGGTCACCACAACACGAACTGTATTAAAGGGTCATGGCATTAGGAAGGTTGAGAACCACTGGTATAAGCAATGTCAAGCATCTTCCCCAAGAGCCAGCCACCTCTGACCTGCTGTCCTCTACTCACCAAAGGAAGTGAAATCATCTTTTAAAACAAAGTGAAATTATCTTACATCACCATCACCCCCTTCTTGGTCATGAATCTCCATCACTGAACACCAGTGTATGCGTGTCCACCCAAGTAGGGTGACCACAGGGCATTGCTACATGGCTTAGACTAGTCATTCCTCTCCCACCCACCCCCAAATGAGAAAATGCCCTCAGCTAAAGTGAGGCCTGCCCTGGAGAAGCAGTCTTTATGATATGCAAATGAGAGAGTGATATTCCCATAAGGATTTATAGCCTGGAAAACACTGTGGTGCGGTTCTGCACTGACTTAAAGCACTTTGCTTGATGCTAGCCTAGTGAGAAAAACTCGATTTAAGAAAGCTCTGCTCCACCCAGTGCAATTCCATTTGAGGGAGGGGCACCCCACATACCTTTGAAAGGAAAATTCAAGCTCAATCTCACTTAGGAACATAGATGCAAACTTCCTAAATAATTGCAAGCCAAACTCCACATAGCCAAGGATAAAATAAACTCATCATGAACTAGCTGGCTTTGTCTTGGGCAAGCAAAGATATTATAAAATCTAACATTATTCAGGCCTGCCCAGACCACACAGGTGCAAACGAAGAGGGAAAGAGAGAGAGAGAACCTCATCATGGCCCACCAAGTCCCGAGGATGACATCCACCCTCACAGCAGCCAAGGCACAGAGAGGACCATAGGGCTAGCCCCACCATGAGACACAGTGGTTCCCTTACTGCTGAAGACAAAATGGATGCATAAGCAAATGTAGTGAAGAAAGTGATGGTGCCCTGTGATCAAAAGACATGGCATCTGGGATCTTACAGGCTTGAAGTTGAACAGGCAGCCATCTATCAGGGAAACAACTAAACTCACATGGAAGAAGCACACCAGCCTGTGTGATTGTGAGGTGTCAACGGGATCAGGTATCAGATATCAAAAGATCCAAACCAAATACTTATAAGGAGGGGGACTGGAGAGGAGACCCAAAGCCCATCTGTAGACGATTGGACACCCCCTCACAGAAGGGTTACAAGGAAGGGACGATTCAACCAGGGTGCAATATAGCACCAAAGAAGCACACATCATTCCTCTAGTTCCTGAATGCTTCCTCACCCAACTACCATGACCCAATTCTGCCTTACAAATCTGGCTAGACCGGAGTACACACATGTGTACAGATAAGAGCTCTCAACATGTGGAATTCAGGGCAGATAGAGTCCTCAGGAATAGTAGTGGGAGTAGCGATATCATGAGAGCAGTGGAGTGCCGAGAGGGGAACCCAACACAAGGTTTGATATATAGCCCCCTCCCCAAGGGGGATGAATAGCAGAAATGTAGGTAAAGAGAGACAGCAGATAATATATGATACAAAATAATAATAATACTATATTTGATCAAGGACTCACAAGGGTGGAAGAGTAGGAGAGGGGAGAGAAAAAGCGCTGATACCAAGGGCTCAAGTAGAAAGAAAATATTAGAAATGATGATGGCAACATATGTACAAGGGTGCTTAATACAACTGAATGATGGATTGTTATAAGGTTTGTAAGAGCCTCCCCAATAGAATTATTAATAAATAAAAAATAGAAGGGCAAGAAAAACATCTAACATTATTCACCACATTAACCGATTAAAATATTTGGGAAAATGTTTCAATAATTGCTAAATAACTTACTAAACTTAAGTGCTTACAAGAAAAATGGCAAACTGGGGATGAAAGATGATTTTCGTTAGCTTTATTACATCATAAACAGAAATATTTAATGTAAGGAACAAGATTATGATACCCACCACGACTTCTTATATTCAATGAAGGAAAATCAGTTATTACCCGCATCATGATTCTATATACAGAAAATCTAAGAAACTACAAATTATACACAACAAGGTTGCCTGCTCATCCATAGACATAATCAACATATGTTAATCAGTTATTGTTCCTATGTCCTAATAACGTAAGTGTAACAAAAAGCAGGCCTCTCTCTGTAAAGCCGATTCTCACAGTGAACTGCTGGGGGAGAGTAGAACTATCCATGGGGTTTATACCATGGAAACAGATCACCACTTCTTTCTTCCTTGGAGCTTTGGAGGATGCCGATGCACAGCCAAGTTTGGATGTCACTGCTCTAAATTTTATTTTGCTATCTTGGTAATATGTTATAATGAAATTAGTAGCAAAATTCTTGCTAGAGTATTTTCAAAGACAAAGATAATGCAAAATGTTTAAGTGGGCATGTTCGGCTGCCATTTAGTGGCAGAATATTGAATAGGCTGCCAGACGAACAAACAAATGTGTCTTGAAAGAAGTACCCACACAGAATGTGCCTCAAATAGGAGGATGACTCGATTGTGCCTCTCATATTTGGGACATGCTGTCAGGAAGAACCATTCTCCGCAACAAGACACCACGCTTGGTAGAGGGTCAGTGGCAAAGAGGAGGTGGATTGCCACCGTGGCTGCAACAGTGGGCTCAAACACAGCACAGCTTGTGGATGTGGATAACTATATGGGCCCTTCAGTGTGCCAGGCACTGTTGCTGTACTTATATTATCCTAATCATAAAATCAGGCTGGTATCTTAATTTTCACAAATCTTTACCTTGACCTTTGGAGAATACCAATGGTCACACAACGCTAAGCTGAGAGAGCCTGGGTCTCAAACCCCAGTAGCACCCCCAAAGTCCATTATGCTTTCCAACTACTGGTCCTCACTTCCAGTTGTTGTAAAGAATGTGGTCATAAGTGTGTGATTACTCATTCAGACACCCTCAAGTTTTACATAGGTGGATAGATAAATAAATAGACCCCAATGAGTTTCAAGGGGTTCTGGAATAAATCTAGCAGAAGCCGCACCTCACAAGAGGTGGTTGGCTGCAGCTGCGGGCTGCCGAGGACCACTCCGGGTGACCAGGCCCCGTGTTTTGCATGGGGCTGGGACCCATCCGCTCTGCTTACGCACTGCCCGGTGGGGGCCGCACCCTGACCGCCCGGACCCCGGGGTGCGCAGTGAGATGGAGGCCCTGGAGGCCCCGGGAAGAGCAGGGTGATCCCGCCGAGTAGATCAAATGCCGTAACTCCCACGTTCCTTCGTCTTGCCCTTGACCATGGATCTCATGTTCATCCTCGTGACCGCGGCCAGCGCTCTGGTCACCTGTGCCGCCGCTGCTCTCGCCGCGTTGGCAGCCGTCAGAAGCCTGAGGTCTCTGAAGAAACGGAGCTCTGGGCAGAATGAGGGCACTCAGGCGTCTGCTAAGAACCCCGCACCCACTTTCAAGACAGCAGCGAAGATGGAACAGGAGACGCACCAAGAACTGGGCAAGAAGGAACGCCACCCCCAAACTTCGTAAGTGTCAAATGCAATTTGGTGACATGGCTGGCAGCCAACACAGTGCCCATCACACCAGGCTCCTTTCCGGCGGTACAAACAACAACAACAACAAACTAGCAGCTGGAGCCGCAGGCACAGGCTTGGCTAGTCTCCCAAGGACACACAAAATGAAGGTCACGCTCCTGTAAAGCCGGTTTTCAGAGTTAGGGGTCATGAAAGAGATGGCATCTCAAGGAAGACTCAAGAGGGGAAATTCGTCAGTGTGTGCTTGTGTCTTGGCAGAATCGTGCC